TTTTGTTAATTCAATGTTGTATGGTAGAGAGTCCATAACTTTAAAGGATGTTAAGGTCTCTTTAAATTCTACCGAGCCGATACATAAGCTGAATGATAAAACAGTTGATACTCGAGTCGATGGTTTACTAGTAAAGAGAAGATAGAAGGATAGAGAAGATTATAAAGAAAGACCCAAATTCCGTTCTAAGTCTAGAACACTCCCGGATAAGAAAAACAATATTGAGTGCTATTATCGTCACAAGAAAAGACATTATAAATCAGATTGTTCTGCTTTAAAGAAGAAGGAGAAACCACGAGCTTAAAGTTTTGAGTCCGATAATGTGGCAAAGGCTACCGATGTTTATGCTTCGCTGAAAGTGTTCTTGTTGTATGTCCTCTAGATGGTGGTTCGATCAAGAATGGATTTTGGATACAGAGTGCTTCATATCATATATGTTCAAATAAAAAGTGGTTTACCACTTATGAATGTATAAGTGGTGGCTCTATTTTGATGGTCAACAATTCAGCTTGTGAGATATCTCGTATTAGTACAATTCGTATTAGGTGTCATGATTTGGTTGTGAGGACTTTGACCGAAGTGAGACATATACTAGATTTGAAAAAGAAATCTAATTTTTTAAAGTTATCTAGATTCAAAAGGTTTCTAACGTTTTCTTTATTGTAATGAAAGTAACTCAAATTAATCATCTCTATATGTCACAAGGTAGTACAAGTAACGGGCTCTACAGGGGTAATTAGTTCCTATTATGAAAAAAAGACTCAATTATGGCATATGCGTTTGGGCCATATAAGTGATAGAGGTATGACTACTCCGAGTAAACGTGGTTTACTTTGTGGTGATCAAATAACATCACTTGATTTCTATGAGCATTTTGTCTTAGGAAGGCAAACTAGAGTGCGGTTCTCGTTGACACTCATTCTACAAAGGGCACACTTGATTACATTCATTTAGATTTATGGAGACCGAACTTAGATTCCATTCAAAGGTGGTGCACTTTATTTTTTGACATTTATTGATGATTACTTTATGAAGGTTTGAGGCTATTTTCTCAAACATAAGAGTGATGTTTTCGAAACCTTTAAACAATGGAAAGTTTTAGTAGAAAATTAAACAGGAAAAAAGGTTAAATATCTTCGAACAAATAATGGCTTGGAATTTTATGGTGGAAACTTTAATGAGTTTTGTATAAACTCTAGGATTGTTCGACATCGCACGATTAGACACATTCCTTAGCAAAATGGGGTGGCGAGAGCGCATGATAGGACTTTGATGGAGAGAGCTAGATGTATGCTCTCTAATTTGGATTTGGAGAAGGATTTCGGGATAAAGCGAGTTAACATAACTTGTTATCTTATTAACCATTATCCCTCTACCGCCATTGATTGTAAGACTCCAAATGAGGTATGATTAGGTAAACCTAATGATTATTCAAATTTAAAAGTATTTGGATGCCCCGTTTATTATCATATTAAAGATATTAAACTTGAACCTAGAATAAAGAAATACTTATTTGTTGGCTATACTTGATAGGGTGAAAAGTTATCGTCTATGGTGCATTGAACCTAAATCATCTAAATTCATTGTTAGTAGAGATGTTGCTTTTAATGAGAAATAGATGCTTGATCAAGGAAAGGTTGTTTGTGAGTCTACAGGAAAGAGTGAGAAAGCCATGGATAAGGTAAAGCTTCAAATGGAGTTTAAAAGAGAGACTATTTAAAAACCATCCTCGGATGTATCCCCTATAGTTACGGACGCACAAAAAGATTCAAATATGAATGAAGATGCCATAGAATTTGAACAACCTTACTCAATAGCTACCGGTCGAGAGATGAGACGGATAAGACCTCCCGGAGATATGCTTATGTTGATCTAAGTAGCTCTATACCCTTACTAAAGCCGAGACAATAGGTATTTAGGAGCCTTCCACCTATACGAGAGGTAGTGATTTATGAAGAGTCTAATCGGTGGTACATTGCAATGATAGAAGAACTCAAGTCACCGTACAAAAATCGGACTTGAGATTTGGTGAAATTACTTAAAGGTAATAGAATTATTAGATACAAATGGGTATATAAGAAGAAAGAAGGAATACTAGGTGTTGAAAATACTAGATTCAAGGTACGATGGATGGCTAAGGGTTATAATCATAAGGAAAGAATTGATTACAATGAAGTATTTTCTCCGATTATGAAACATACCACTATTCGTATGTTGCTTGCTATGATGACTCAATTTGATTTGGAGCTTGAGTAACTAGTTATGAAAATAGTTTTTTTTACATGGAAAGCTTAAGGAGACTATTTATATGTCTTAACCGGAGGGATACTTTGTGGAAGGAAAAGAGAACCACGTTTGCGGATTAAAGAAATCTTTATATGGCCTAAACAATCACTAAGGTAGTGGTACAAGAGGATTAATAGTTTTATGCTTAATCATGGTTATTCAACATCTACTTATGATAGTTGTGTGTATTTCGAGCAGTTTATAGATAGATCCTTTATATATCTCTCATTGTATGTGGATGACATATTTATTACTGCTAAGAACATGTCGAAATTCAAGTCGTTGAAGAAACAACTCGGTGATGAGTTTGAGATAAAAGATCTTTGAGCATCAAAGAAGATCTTAGGTATGGAGATTCATAGAGACGAAAGGTTGAAAAATTATATCTTTCATAAAAATGATATATTAAGAAAGTGGTTGAGCGTTTTAGTATGCGAAGGGCAAACCTGTCAATACTCTATTGGTTGCTCATTTTATACTTTCGACTTCTTAGTCACCTCGGAATGAAGAAAAAGAGAAAAAAATATCACGAGTTCCATATTCTTGTGTAGTAAGCGAGCATAATGTATGCTATGATCCGCATTCGTCCACACATTGCCTAGACAATCGGTATTGTGAGTAAATATATGGCTCATCCAGGAAAGGTACATTGGCAAGCGGTGAAATGGATTCTCGGGTATCTCAAAGGTACCACGGACTTGGGTTTAGTCTTTAAAATAGGTAGTGATTCTAAAACTTTTATTGTAGGCTTTGTAGATTCCGACTAGGCAAGTGATCTTGATAAAAGGAGATCATTGATAGGATATATCTTTACACGTTAAGGTTTTACTATTAGTTAAAGATCATTATTACGAGTCGACAATTGCTTTATAAACTACCGAGGCGGAATATATGGCAACGAATGAAGCCGTGAAGGAGGTCGTTTGATTGAGAAATCTTGTAGAGGAACTTGGTCTTCAACAAGAAGAAAATTCAATTATCTTTTGTGATAACCGAGTGCTATAAACTTAACTAAAAATCAAGCACATCACGAGAGGACCAAGCATATTGATATCGGGTATCATTTCATTCGTGAAGCGAGTTTCGACAAGAAGATTGCAGTGAAGAAAGTTCACACTAAAGACAATTTAGCTTATGTGTTAACTAAACCTCGTTATAGCAAATAAGTTCACGTATTGTTTGGACTTGAGTGGTGTTAAGAAAATTAAATTTTGTTGTCGAAAAGAGAGGCTCGGCCATGTGAAGGAATATTAAATGTGTTTAATACATATAGAACTTATCACTAGTTAGTTAGGGGGATTATACATGACATGAATATTTTTTGTTCATTGAGAGGGCAACGGATCTTTGACTAAACCATAAGCTCATCCATCTCGCCCAATTTTAAGAATGCTGGAATTGAAAAATGAAATATTAATTGTGAAGTGATAACATGTTATGAATTAATTGTCAATCTTGCTTCATACTGAATTTCTATTTTTTAAGATAGATTATATTAGAATTATTTTTATACCTAATTTATAAATTAAAGAAAAGACAACATCTTTTTAAAATATCCACTAATATTTTTCACCAATTTTGTTCAATATTACTGCTTTTTTTTTTCCTTCCAAAAAGAATTTTTCATCATACCATAACATATTTAATATATATTTTTTTTGCAAAATTTTTATTGTGTCTAATAGTATATATATATATATATATATATATATATATATTGTCTTACATTTATTCACATAGATACATGATTGGCCAATAAGAAGTATTTAAAAATAAAAATTGTAAAACTAAACTAGTTTGGTGTAATCTATGTTGATACTATATCATATATAATTGGTTTTGCAAATTTGAAAGTTATAAAAAATTCTCTTGCGATATTTTACAGTTTTTATTCTAACTAAAACACCTGGTTGACTTCAAAAATGAATTTGTAAAAAAATTAAAAAAGATTTTGTTTAATCAATTAAGATATAATACAGTGAAAAAATAAGAAGAAAAAAATAGTCGACCACTCACAAATTATGCATAATTGTGGAGTCCTGAGATTAACCATTTATGAAACGGGGAAAATATGCATACAAGAACACATACCACCAAACAAAAATTAGCTTAGCATTTTTATTTTGGACTCTTACGTAGCTATGTGCAGGAATCCCTTATATTCTGGATAGATTAGATAGATAGGTATCTTGAAGAATTGCTCTTTTCCAAGTACATTGAACAACAGCTGAAGAAAAACTGGATTGTGAAATTTTTAAGGTCATTTCTTGACTTAATTGAGCGGTAAGTTGCGTGTTTATCGATACTAATATAGATTAATTAGTATAGACCCTATAAAAAATACAAAAAAAAATTAAAAAAATTCATTGAAATATTAATTGTTAGGTAAGTTAGTGTCTGAACATATTTATGTTATGGTCTAACTAGAGGGTGAGCTGTGATACATAAGGGTCCCTTGGATTTCCAGAAGGGACAAAGCCTAAATAGACCAGCTGAGATCTTAATAACACAATTCACCCTCCATCAGCAACAACAAAATCTAAATCCTTGAAAAGCTTTTGGTCTCATTCGCAATCAGATCAATACTGCCAAATTTGCCAGTATCCCTATTGATCGATGGCGATTTGATCGAACCAAATCCTTCTCTATCTCCAAAGTTCAAACCTAAATATATATGAAGATAAGTTGATGGTACGTAAGACCCTTCGCTTTCGATGAACACCGACTCCCTGAGGAATGCGGCATCCATTGCATTTGAACTTCAAACTTCACCAAAACCCTCGAAAGAGATACTAGTTAGCTGCACTAATTTTACATCATTTGTCATATATGTAGCTTATGCAATTAATTTATAGTTGACTTGGTATAATTTCTTATTTGGAGAAGGTTTTGACTTGGATTTGGAAGACCGTTTCCATTAACTACACATCTTACGTTCTTTTTTTAAAGGATCAACCTTGGAAGTGGTCTAAAGATTGACCGGCCTAAGCCCTAATGCCTAATGTAATCTGCATAGCTAGTATCAATTATGGTCACTATAATAATATTAGAAAGCAAAAAGACTTTACCTACTCAATTTTTAGGATCCTCGGACCGTTCATCGAATCCCTTTTAGACACTTCATTTTATTTTCCCTTTTTTCAATTTTTGGATTTCCAATTTTGGTTTTCGTTTTCTTTGATTTTTTTTTGTTTTATATATGTATTTGTGTGTCCTACTTTGGTTGACAGGAAAATGAGGTGTTGCTGATGTTATAAGAACTAGAAAATTAATGACGTGCTAGGGAGTTGGAGTTTTTCATTAATTTTTGAAGTATTTAAGAAAGCAGAAAAAATTAGTTTACACCAAGCAGAATTAATATTGTTAAGCTATCTTATAATCTAACTACAATGCGGGACGATATTTTTGTTAAGCTATTTTAATTGTGATATTTATTTAATCATACGATTTTCTATGGTTAGTCAATTTATTTAGTTACGCAAGTATTTTTATTAGATACTAATAAGATAGAATTTTTATTTTTATATATATTTTTTAAAAATCACATCTAACATTTAGTCGATTCTAAGGCTGGACTTTTTGAATCCATCAACGGTTTATATCCAGTGCAACACTAAGGAGAGGAAAGAGTTTTTAATAATGAGAATTAAACATCTAACTTGTTGAGTCTAAAACACTTTTCTTATCATAGAAAATCTTCGATAGTATTTTATTTGCTTATTATGTTTAGTCCTATTAGTGATTTTTAATTTTCTATGTAAACAATTGTAATAGATCCTAAAGTATCTAAAGTAATAGTTATAGTTGTGTTCTTTGTTTTTAGAGTTTTCGAAATTTAATAAATTCTAATATCTTTCTATATTCTACGTCATTTGGCATCAAAGCAGATTGACCTAACTAATGGACGGGTCGGTAGTAACCACTCCAATGGCTTGGATCAAAGGGGCGAGTCCCGAAGTTGGCGTTGAGACATCAAGAACAAAGGCTTGATCATCACTTTGAACAATCCGATAGTATTTTTGTATAGAACTTGGTGGCAAGTGCAAATAAGTTTTGAGATGACGAGAAGGACGTGCCCAGAAATGTACGTCATGGCATATTCGATGCTAGATCTATTCCTGCAAATCCATGTGGACACCCTGTTTATGTGTAGAATTTTGTATACAAAAAGTGATGCACTAGAGACGTAACTTGCAGTCATCCTAATCATAGACACTTTCCTTCTTTCAAAGAAATTCCTCTCTTTGATGGAGATATTTTTCTTGAAAATTTTTGTTTGGTAGTTGTGAGATGTTGAAACCTATTTCAGATTTAAAGAGACTCTTGAAGATGAGAACAAAAACTTGCACAATCATTAATGTTCCTTTATGATGCACTGCATTGATTGTTTTAGGATTATTTTGATGGGGTTTGATAATTTAAACTAAAAATTCATTCATGTTTAGAATGAAAAGGTTAATAATTTTGAAATTTTATATTAATATTTATTAGGGTAAATAGCAATCCATCCTTATATGGTTGGTTAGGTCTCTCATTTATCATTATGTTTCTAATTGTGTCTATTATGTCACTATACAATATCTAATTCTCTAATATGTCTTTCTATCAAGTTTTATTATTCAAATTAATATAAGTATATTTGTCGTTCTAAAACTACTTGAGCTATACAAGAATATAATTTTTATTTTTGTAAAACATAAATCTTTATTTTTTAAAATTTTAATCGTTGAGAAATCTTGAAACTTTTTATTTCTTAAAACATTTTGAGCAACATTAAGAAATTTTTATGTTAACATATTCCACATCGAATAAATAATTAATAAATGAATAATATATAAAGTTGAGAATGTACCTTCCACTACAAATTAAAAATTAAGTTTTTTTAATGAAATTAAATCTTAATTATCTAATTTAATATAATTTTAAAATTTAATGACCTAATAAAGATCTTAAAGTATCAAGTTGATGAAAAAAGATCACCTATCAATAAAATTTAATTTAATTTTTTTGATAGAATTCAATCTCAATATCAAATTTAATTCAACGCAATGCTAATTTAATTTGTTGAGAAGAAGTATGGCTCTCGTTTCCCATATGAAGATGTGAAGGCTATGCCCACTCTTAGAAATAAGAGGCAGGTTAAGGAGAAAAGTATCAAAAAGTCTTATTTTGCAGCCGTCTATTGGAGTTAATAATATTGGTGACGTTGCTTATTTTGGTCCACAATCAAAGGAGTTCTAGAAGAAGTCTTATATCCCCTAATTAGCAATTAATGGTGCTGTTATCTATTTTTGTGCAATTATCAATGAATTAACCAAGACCACAGATTCTCTAATTAATGTCACGGCTGAATTAAGGTCATGCTGCCCAAGATCTTTGCAATTTTCCAAATAAGGAAGAGTCATGTAACTTCGAATCCAACACAAATAGATGATCAAATTAAAACAGAAGATATGGAGGAAATAAACAATTTTTTGTGAAATATAGTTTTGAATTCAACCATCTGGATTAAGTAAAATAATAATAATAATAATAATGAATTAATAATCTTGATTTAAAGAACATAGAAAACTGTCATACTTTTTTTTTTTTTTTTGAAAAAAAAACATAATCCGTAAAAGAAAAGGCAACTATGATTCGATCGAGTTTGTACTGTTTTCCATGGCTGGAATTTCTTTTGATAATTGTGACTTTGAAGAATCATATCGCATTGATTTTATCGGCACAGCAGATTTTTTTTTGGGCATGGCTTCTACTTGGGTTAGCATTGTCAATGAAATTGACTGCGTTCCCAGTTACAAATTTCCATGTAATAAAATCAACAAAATCATTGTACTTCAAATGTTTATTCTTTTGGCATAGAATAATTTAAATTTTTATAGTAAATTCAAGGGCTTTTTAATTGTGAAAATCTGCCGCGGGACGCTTTTTTTGGTATAGCTATTAGATTTTTTTTATTTAATTAAGCAATTATAATAGCTTTTAGCAATATATTAAGACGTTGAATTAATTGTATTTTATGTGTTTTTTTTTTTACAACTATAATTTTCTTTTCAAAGAATTTTTAAAAATTGATAAACGTTGTTATCTGCATAAAATTAATTGATATCCAAGTTTAATTTTGTTTTCTTAGGCATTCAAAGTTTCGATGGGTTTAATTTTGTGTTCTTTTGCATTCAAAATTTGGATTGAGGTATAGGAAAAGAGGGAATATTATTTTTAGTTGTGTGGTCCAAAGTTTAATGAGTTTTCTAATGAAAAATGGACTATTAAGCAGAAAGCTGTGTTGTAACTTATAATAATGCATGTATCAGGACGTTGGAGAGGGTCTAGAATCTAGCTATTTAATTTTTTTTCTCCCCATTTTATAGGATCCAATGGATAGTTCATGTCAATGAGCTAACACCTTTGACAAATTCCAATTTTAAGCCATATGAAAAATAAAAATAAAGAATTATACCTGCTAACTTCAGTTGCATTGGAAGTCCATAATATTTACTGGCACTTTCTTGAGTGCCTTTAGATTTTCCACACGCATTAGCTTCGAATGTTTTCAAGAATGAGATATTAAAATGTATGGAGATATAGAGTTTGAGATTTTGAATATTGTATACAAAAATTTGAAACGGATGTTTGAAACATCTAATTCAACTAAGGCTTATAATGAAAAAATCATAAATTTTATATTTTTTAATCATATTAGTATGTTTTTTAATATTAGATAAAAAATATATAAATTAATTTTTTTTATTAACACATGTGACTTTTTTCGTTTAAAATTTTATTATTCGTTGATGTGGTGGGGGGAGAAATGTTGAAGAGTTGAAGCAATTTTAGATAGAAAAATTCACGCATGTTAATATGGTTAACATAAGTTTAGTTTGTGTTTTTTTTATATTAGATATTAAAAAAATATGTTAATATGATTGAAAAGTATAAAATTTGTAATTTTTTAGTTTAGTAAGTCTTCAACTATTTTTTTTTTTTTGTCTAAAATTCAGTTATCAAGAAGGTGTATTTTTAGGTTGCTTACTTTTTTTTGTCAGTTATTCGCTGGTTTTCTTTTCATTAATTTAATCTTGATTACATTCATAAAAAAATCTAAAAAAAAAAAGAAGAAGAAGAAAGAAAGAAAAAACACAGAAACCATAATGGGAAAGCAGATGGTAAGGATTCTGTATGGTTATTGGCAGCAATAGGCAACAATGACGTTTCTCGTATAAAGACAATCAATCAATCAATTCGTAAAACTTGTTGGGCTGCATGCGGATGCTTTAATCACTCAATAAAAGATTTTCTGTTTTGATTATATATTAAGAAGATTGAGACAGTTTTTTTAATCCAAAAATATTGTCCATTTATTTTTTCTCTATCTGGTCATAAGTACACAATTTTTTTTTTTTTAACCACATTGTTTGTCTTAATTAAATACTCAAGAAAGCAATGGAGAGAATGAAATGATTTTTGAATGTAAGATAGAATATCAGCCAAATTATATGAAGAAAAAACAGTAGCAGCCAACAAAATATGTTCATGCCGACTAACCTTAATTATAATCCAGTGACCCACTAATTTATCAATTATTTTTAATGAATATTAATATTTGCACATGAATCATAATTTCACTATCAAAAATCAACATTCACCAATAACAATGCATCACAGTTCTATGTATCAAATCATATGGGTTGATTGCTCAGACAAAAGAGAAAAAAAGAACAGTTCCGCTTCTGTTTTATTATGTCCTACCCCTTTTTCTTTTCATTATTTTTTTTATGCGATGGAATGTCTCTATACTTTAATTACTATTATGAGTTAAATGGACCAAGTCTCCGTCGAATTTTAATTTATTTAAAAATCAGCTTTTGGATTTCTAATTTTAAGTTTGGCATCTCCCAAACTGTATTTTTTAAAAAAAAGATTTAACACGTCTTATAATTTCCAACTATCACTATTCTTTCTCAAAAAATTTAATTTTTAATACTTTGAGTTGACGTTTTACACATACGTTGAGAAAAAATTCAATTTATTTTTCAAAAAAAATCCTAAAAGCTTTCAAGGTCTGAAAGTATATATATGTTCTTTACATTAAAAATTTTAATAAATTGTTTTCATTATAAAACTATTTATGTTTTTTTTTTTTGTAAAAAACTAAAGAACGAACTAGATTAGAAGTTTATGAACGGATTTTCAAAAGGCTAAAGTACGGAGGAGATTTGATCCGTTTAGTCTGCTTGCATTATTGATTGATGGATTTAAAATTAGAGGGTCCAATGTTTAGTTCCGAGAGCTGAGCAAACAGCCAAGGACATAGATAATTCTATGTGCCGACTGATGGCTAGCTATAAAATAACCGTGTGCTGCTGCACTTACTTTAGAAGTAGGACCGCTGAAAAGTTTATGCATAAATTACCAATAATGTTGCTTAGCTTGCTGAAGAAATTTGTATAGATTAATTAATATTATTGGGCACGAGATATATATTAGGAAGAAGCTTCTATAGATTATTAAGTTATTGCTGTTCAAAAATATTTTAGGTTTTGTAAATTGAAAGAAACAGAGAGTAGAAATCAAGGAGACTGATGTCAGTATAAAAATATTTTAGGTTTTGTAAATTGAAAGAAACAGAGAGTAGAAATCAAGGAGAATGATGTCAGTATATACGAATTGATTTGTACTTGCTGCTTGTACGTAGTTGTGACCTTCAATCGTTATCGAATCTCTTACACATGGATTTTTTTTTTTTTGAGGAAACCTCAATTTCATCTCAAAATAAGAGTTTTTATCAATTAAATCCTTGATGTTTCAGGCCTTTGTCAATTGGGTCATTGTGTTCATGTTTGCTAGTATTTTTCTTGACGAATTTACTTCAAACTAGAGCCATTTTATTGCAATTCTGCATATTCCATGTAAAGTGCTGACAAATATGTAATGAAAGATCCAATTTGAAACATTAGAGAGTCAAATCGTAAAACTGCTGTTTCGGGATGAGATTGAGGACAACATTGACATATCCCGTACACCATGTTTTGGCAAATTAAAGTGATAGTAACATTTTCACAGAATAAATTATAAATTAGTCCCTCTTGTTTTTTTTTAAAAAAAAGAATTAAATAGTTTCTTTTGTTTTTTAAAAAACTAATTAATTAGTCTTTTATTCAGTGTTGATTATTGTTAATTTAATATTAATTTGTTTCAAAAGGTATCTTCATATATTTTTTCTTTTTTTATTTTCAGAACAAAAAAAAAAAAAATTGAAAAGAGAATAAAAATGATTAGTTTTAAGACTAGAGAGACTAATTTATAATTTACTATATTTTCAGTGTTGGCCCCCTCCTTTTTTATAGTTCTACTTTTTTGTTTTTATTTTGTTTTTTATCAATAAGAATATTATTAGACAAGTTTTTGCAAATCAAAACTAAGTCATTTTATTTAATATTAGACTCCATTAGCTTTTCTTTTACACCGAAAAACATATAACCATATTTAAGCCAATCAAAATGTAATTGGCCATCTGCCTGCAAACGTATATATATATACATATATGGAGTTTTTTTTTAATAATAAAGTATTTTCGGATAGTTTTCACATATCAAAACTAAATCATTCTCTCTTATCGAAGTTTAAGAAGAGCATTCGCCCTACTTAAATTGGTACAAACATAACAATTTTTTTCCCAGATTTAATTCTTAAATAATAACATATATAGGAAACAAATCTATCTATTAATCAAACTACAAAGAGTTTATTTTTCGATAGTTTGGAATAGAAAAACTCAAATCAGAACATTGGTTTTTTCAGGATCTCAAGATTGCATCACTCCTTTTTGCTACTACCCTCTGAACTTAAATACAGAACACGATCAAAACTCTCAGTTTCCCAGAAAACTATTGAAAAGAAAGAAAAATTGAGGAGGAGTGAAGCATTTGAAGATTGGTTCACATTCTTTCGGAACTGTAGAAACAAAAGCTGCCTTTTACAGTGATCTTGGGAAAGAAATGAATACAAAAATAAAATAATTAGATACTAACAGTGCCCTACACAAAATAATGTAATGTAGAACATGGATGGCTTGTTTGTTTTGTCACATGGATTCCTTACGTACAGATATATCAGACAAATGAAAGTAATGTAACTTTCATCTTTCTAGGCTTTCATCACTGTAAGAATCACTGCTTTGTCAGACTTTTATTTTCACATATCTCGATGGCGTCGTACTTTCGACCATATTATTACCAAATGACGAACCTTCCCTGTTTTGCCTCACAAGTTTTGGCTGTTCGTGGTGGCGCGTGGCTTCACTCTCCATCCTTTTTGTCGTGTTCTTGGAAATGTGGACTTAGTTTTTTTTTTTTTTTTTTTCCTTTAAATTGTAGCATGTACATGTATAGTAGTTATTTATTGAGCTCACTTTGAAGATAAAAATAGACACAAAAAAAAAAATAGAGAGAGAAACATAAAAGAGAAAATAAAAAAATTTGAGCGAACGAGAAAATCTTCTTATCACTTTTGATATCTATGGATGTAATTTTTTTTTATATATCTATATTTTTTCTCAAAATGGTCTCAAGGAGTATATGTATTATAAAATTTCTTTTTAAAGTAAGCTTAAGGAGTAGTTACTTGTATATGTCATTAATTACTCTTTGACCATCAAGAAAGTAGTATAATAACAAAAGAGTTACTTTGTTTTCATCAAAATTAAAATTCAATTCACATGATTCATAATAAATTATAAATTATTTCATTTAGTTTTAAAAAATAAATTAATTAATCTTTTTTATTTTAAAAATTATTATTTAATTTTTTAATCGGTGTTAATTATGTTTAATTTAATATTATTTTTATTCTATAAAATCTATTATTTTCTCATCAATTTTTTCATTTTTTTCTTTTTTCTATTTCTTAAAATAAAAATCAAAATAAATTAAAAAAAGAAGTAAAAATGACTAAATTATAAGTAAATTTGAAATCATAAAAACTAAATAATTAGTTTTTGAAAAAAAAAACCCCAATCAATTACCAGATAGTCAAGTGGTTGATCAAAAACAAACAAAACATATTTAAATGATGGTTTAGACTGAAAAATGATGAATTTAATATTGATTGATATAAAAATTATTTTGAAAATATATGTATATATCCAACAAAATTTTAGCAGTATAAAATAAAAATGCATGAACGGAAAGTTCCGGTTTTTAACAAATAAAATTACATAAAATTCAGGGATATCATTTATTTGAACAAATTAAAAGAAATGAACAGAAACAAGAAAAAGCTAGGCCGTTGTTGCTGCATACGGTATTTCGCTAGCACGTACTGTCTTTAAGCCTGGGGCAGATGGGGATTTCTCAACTTTCTTAAGAAAGTTCCGATTATTTTTTTAAACAAAAATTGTGGCTCATGAGATGCCACGTTTTGGTTATTAATATTACGAGAATTTAATATTAAGGGATCCATGCACGATTTTCTTCTCTCTTTTTTTCAGTGCATTCAAAACAAAATTTAACAAAATTAGTAGATTGCCATTTTTCAAAAAAGAAAAATAATATTTTATTAATATTTTGCGTGAAGATATAAATATTGTACTATTTGCATATAACAATTATAGAGAAAATAATAATAATACTCATTGAATCGATCTATTTGAAATAGATCTGGACAATAACGACGATGTATGAAACTAGCCTTCCAAATAACAAATGATCATTCCCTCGATCAGTTTGGATGATTTTGATGAAAAACAAACTTTTCAAACTTGAACTGCTGTTTTAGAAGCTTATAATATCAACGTTACATTCATAGATAGATTGATGTTACCATGAAACAATTGGGGAACAAGTCATATTACTAGGTTTCATCGATGGAAAATCCATATCTTTCAATTCTTATCAAAATCTTCAAAATAGACAGAATCAAATGCCAAACCTTTATAAAAAATGAAACAGATTCCAACAAAAAGAGAATTAGAACTTAATAAAAAGAAAAACCAAACAAAAATTCAGATGTAAATTGTACAAATCTGATTTGTACGCAGATTGTAATTTTTGTTAGCATTTTATATTGAAATTAGTTTTTTTTTTTCAACGTTATTGAGATATTTAGATATTGAAATACCATGTCGACCAAGCCCAAGTAAAGTCAATAATTTTCAGTTGGAAACTGAAAATAGAAGACAAAATAAGAAATTAATTGGCTAGTAGGCACAACTTGAATGATGTTAATGTCAGTTTGTGTCCCAATTCAGATACTTTTGTTATATCATTTTCAGTTTTTTGTTTGATATATAGAAGAATTGACAATTTGTTTCGTAATGCTGTAAGTATCTGAAAAACCTATATAGCTGATTCTTAAGCATGCACCTGCTTACCGTCAACCAAATAGCAGGCAACATGTGGCAAAGGATTCAAGTTTTAAGTTTCAAGTTTCAATGGGTGTTATTATTTATAGCTTACCAATAGCATAATATATATATATATATATATATATATATATATATAAACAAATGTTGATATCAAGTGAGTTACAAGTTATAATTATATGTAGGATGCTCAACGAGTTAGATTCAAATCGAATCATAATAGATTTAGATTTGATTTATTTAATAAAATGGATTGGATCAAATCATGTGGATATGAATCGGATTTTGAAAATATAAATCTAAATCCGAGAGACTAATAAGATACGGAGCTCCATTGGATTTATCACTTGATTTATATAAAAAAATTTATACTTATTACATTTTATATAATGCATGACTATAAAATATATTTCAATCATTATATATATAATAAAATATATTAAGATAAAATTTTATCTATGAATTTTATAAAAAATTCAAAATGCCATGCAATTCAAAAATATAAAATCAAATAATTATTCTAATAAAGTTTATCTTAAACTGAGTATGAAGTATGACAAATCTAAATAATAATAATAATAATAATAATAATAATAAATAATATTTACTTCTTGTCCAGGTGATAACAAAATCAACATTTGTTAATTGTAATTTCAAGATGATAGTGCTATAAATCAAGGCCTAGAAAATAAAAAACCATTAATATTATCATATATTTTTCATAAGTTACTTCACAAAAATTTATTAATGCATATTACTTTACTAATATTAGTAATATCACATAACTAAATAATTAATGAATTACTAATATCGTATTTTCTTAACTTTTCATTAAATCTAATTTTTATCAATTCCTTAACAATAAAAGTTTTCTAGTATCTCAAATTTTAATCTCCAACTACTTTTTCTACACCTTCTCTCAATAAGTAAAATGACAAAAAATGATGTAATTTAGAGATTTAAGCGTTATAAAAGAATTCATGCAAGACACTCTATTATCTACCTCTAGCATCTCAATTAGTTTGAGCTATAATTTTATGTCTATTATTAAAATACTAAAATGAGCTCCAATTTATAAAAAGAAACAATAATCTTAATAATTGGTAAATATATATATATATATAAAGAGTATAAATATAATGAGCTTAAGTAAATGAAATGCCATACGTATTTCATGAAGTTGAATTAAGAAAATGACAAAAAACTCACATTTGATTTTTTTAAAAAAATACAATCATCGCTGTGGAAGATTATGTGTTATTTAAACTTTATAATAGGTAAACTCTAAATTTCAATCTAATATCATATTTATATAATTTTTTTCATATTTAAATTTTTAATGTTATATTTATTAAAATATATATTATTTTTATTTTGGGTCGATTATTATCGAATCGGATCAAGATAGATTTAGATTTAATCCATTTAATAAATTTGTTAATAAATTCGGATCATAATAGAACTTGAGTAAAAAAATTTGTTGACCAGAGATTCATTTACTTAAATCGTCGACTTCGAGGTTGAATCGGTCAAGATCCGATCCATTTACAACCTTAGTCACATAAAACATTTGACTTGAAAAAAAGAAACAAAAGTTATAGTACTCAATTGAAAAGGGTAACTATATATAGAAATGGATGTAATTTTTTTTTTTTTGGAGGTAGGAAAAATGTTTTTTAAAATTGTAAGTTATTTGTATAATGTCTATAGGTTGATTATAATTTTTTATTTGACAAACAAATTAGAAATAAATTAAAATGTAATTTATTCATTGAGCACTTATTTTAATAATGAGAGAGCTAGTAGTCGTTGAGAGGAAAAGAATTGGAGAAATAAAGCTTAAATATGAACCTTTGTTATCTTCCAAAGAAAATCCAATTTCCTGCTTACTCTCCTCTCTTTTTCAACAAAAACTCAATACCATTTTCACGTGCAATATGCTGTAGATCATTTGTTTCATAATAAGGCCTTTAAAAGCTCAGTTTCTCCATCCATACAAGACCCAAAAAGCAGAAAGCTTCTCTTCTTTTTGGGTGGTTTCTGTGTTGCCACTCTTCTCCTTGTGTTGCATTTAAGATTAAGAGAGAGAGAGAGAGAGAGAGAGAGAAGAAATACAGTGAGTTTCTGAAAAGAGGGAAAGAGATGGCACTAGAGGCTGCAGTCTTTCAACAAGACTGGTTTGGCCACAGCAGCAAAGAACTCTACAATTTGCTAGGAGCGAATTGGAGCTATGATTTTGGCCTAGACCAAAATGAAGAAGATCAAGACAAAAGCTGCTCTACTTATTTTCTCGATAACCAAACAGAAACATTTCTTCATGGGGATTGGAACCCTTTACCACCACCTAATTCCATGGTGCCTCACTTCAATGATTTGCACCTGGCTTGTAGCAACATTCCATCTTCATCAGATGCTAGCATTAATGCAGCAAATGGGCTGATGAGCGCCACTCCAACTAGTGATGACCATCACCACTTAGGCGAATCATCAACAATGCCTGCTACTCGTGTTAAGAGAAGGAGATCAAGGAGTAAAAAGAACAAAGAAGAGATTGAGAATCAAAGAATGACTCACATTGCTGTAGAGAGAAACCGAAGAAAGCAAATGAATGAGTATCTTTCAGTTCTGAGATCTTTAATGCCCGAGTCCTACGTTCAGAGGGTATCTCTCATTCCCTCTCTTCCTCATTTTCTTGCTTGATTTCATTTCTTGATAACTCCTTGTTTGGCCTGCAAAGTTTCTTTCTCTTGATTAAGCAGTAAATTTTTGTAGGGTGATCAAGCTTCAATTATTGGAGGTGCTATTAATTTTGTCAAGGAGCTTGAACAGAAGTTACAAGTCCTTGGGGCCTGTAAAGAAATGAAAGAAAAATCTGATGGTGATGATCAGCAACATGTTTCTTCAATGCCTTTCTCTGAATTCTTTACATTTCCACAGTACTCAACAAGCTCAAGTCATTGCGAAAGCTCGGTTGGCAAGAATGAAAAATTGATCAAGTCTCAATCCGCTATAGCTGACATAGAAGTAACCATGGTGGAGAGTCATGCCAACCTCAAAATAAGATCGAAAAGGCGGCCGAAACAGCTCTTGAAGGTTGTTTCTGGGCTGCATAGCATGCGGCTCACTGTTCTTCACCTCAATGTCACAACAATTGATCAAACTGTGCTTTATTCTCTAAGTGTCAAGGTAATTGTATTAGACCAAGTTTATTCAGAACATAAAGTACTTATATTTTCTTTTAAGCCAAGGCCAGCCAATTAAGGTTAGCGTATGATTTTTGCTGCAGGTAGAAGATGATTGTAAGCTGAGTTCAGTGGATGAGATTGCTACAGCTGTGTATCAGATGCTAGGTAGGATTCAAGAAGAGTCTATGGTGAATTGTTAGAAAGTTTACTATTAATTTTCCTTTGTGAAAGGCCCTCTTTTGGCCTTCGCATACCACATGTGGGCAATTTCTGCATTTTTAGGCGGACTCTGAAAGGCTCATTGCAACTAATGTCTCTCCCATTTTATCCTTAGTGTAGCTTATTCTGGTTGGTCTAATTTGGATGTTTCTGTTCCTTTGTTTTGTAACTTTTTTTCACCCTTTTCTTTTTGTAGTTTTTTTAGAGCATCTTGTGTATGAGCCATACACAAATGCTTGGTCAATTCAAACCTTCTTTAATGCCTTGCCCATGCATATTTTTTGGTTCTAGTGTTGTGCTAGTTCTCTTAACCTCGACCTTCTTTTTTTTAATCTTTTTTCTTTATTAGTATCTTTTTGAAGATTTTACTAAGTACGTCAAACTCTACATATTTTCTGCTGCTATTTATAATATTGTGGGTTCTTGAATGGGCCATGGCTAAAACTTTTGCCAATTACACCTTTCAAATCTGTCAATACTCTGGACCATATGTTTCCCTCTATCAGTTTTGGCTCTTAATTAAGATGATCAAAAGATTTCGTTTTTCCATCCCATATTTTTTTTCTATATATTTGGTATTTTTTGTGACGACAAAATTGTCCACAATCCAAATTAGGCATCAAACCCATCTTTACCTACCATTGCACCAGCAAATATATACAACTTTCATGACACCCTGAAAGATACAATTTTTTTTTTCCTTGACCATGTCTATATAATATTCTGCTGGGGACAGTGATGATTGAATATACTTTTCAGATGTTCAAAAAAATAATAATAATAATAATAAGAATTGCATTATTTCGAGTACCAAATTGAATATACAGCTCAACCCCCAATACCTTTAATAAAAGAGATGTAGGGTACTACGGAAAAAATAATTCACATGGCTAGATAAATAATGCATGTCGATTTTTCAGAAAGTCAGAAGAAGGATACTCTGAGTATCAAGATTTTGAACTCAGAGAAGCTTAAAGGTGATGTATCAAAACCTTCAAGAATGTGAAATGCCAGAGAAGGCTGCCATCATTGAACAGCTTTAAGCTTTCTCTGCATCGATCTCTGATTTTATTTTTAAAACATCATGCACATTGAAAGATCTATGTACCCTTAATGTTATGATCCACCTGACCAATCTGATCAGTTTAGAGAGCAAGAGATGATGGAACCTTGTGTAGAACTAGAATAGGGTGTTGATGATCTTATGTTTGTGACATCAAATCAAAATCATTTGTTCATTGAAGATCATAATTACAACCCCATCAAAATGTACGATGTTCACGGTCGAATCCCTAGGCAAAAAGTTTATATGGTGGTAGGGTTGAGTGCCTTTCAAGAGAAACAGTTTCAAAGAGAATAAAGTTTATGACAATGAATTGATAAAAAGTGACAACTGATAATTAAGTATTGTTTGATAAATTTTTAGCACATAGACCATGAATTGGCATGTTTTGAATTTCATTCAATAAAAACATAATAATATCAATGTCTCCAGGGGACCAAGGCTAAAACAACAGTCTTTTGGTCTCACTCTATTCCTATTGTTTTTGGTTGTTGAACTTATATATTTCAACTATTACAAAGAATTGGCTCCTATGAGATCTTGATTAATATATTGACCTTAATTAATCACACAATGCAAACTTAATATGGGTTTGTGATCAAGTGAAACCTTTGTGAGTGCTGCAAAGTATAATTAAGAAGTTCGAGGATCCAAACTTAATATGGAGACAAGCCACATTCACATGCAAAGGAGTACTGTAAAACAAGTGCCTTTAGTGATACTGCCAAACCAATCAATTTTACTTGTAGCCTCTTGCAATTATTAGTGGAGAAAAGGGACTTTTGATGAGGCTAAAATGTTAAAAAGTAAAGCTAGCTACTATTTTTTGGTGTTTTTATTTATAGCAAGACTTGGATAATTGAAACAATTTACTGTAACTGAGTGAATGTGAATTGAACTAAAGAGGATGTTTCTTACTGTGTAACTTTACAAGTGGTGGACAAATGATCTGACCATGCATGACATTGTTGAAGATAAGATCATCATTCATCACCATTCGCCAATATTGTTTTTAGATGTATTTTGCTTGGTGATTATTTTATTTTTTATTTTATTTTTTACAAAAGGTTCAAGCCTCCATAGGTAGGTGCACATGCAAGATCATATTTTTAATTCTTGACAAGCTCTGAGGATTATTTTGGAAGATTCTAACACACCGGACTCTCTCTCTCTCTCTCTTCCCGTCTGTCTTACATGCTTGTTCTCTAGTGGAGTAAAATGTGGTTGAAGGATTCCATTAACCTAAATCATTTGTTCCATGCACAACTACACTATTTCTTGAATTATTATACTGCAAAAACTTTATATTTTATGGTCATCAGCTTGTTGTATACAAAAAGCAACTCTAGATATTTCTTGCACTACGCATTATTCAAATGCCATAATAATAATAAATAGACAGAGACTGATCTTATATAAATATATCAAATTGTATCATGCAAAGTGTAAAGCACTAACAAAACATGGAAAATTATTGAAAAAAAATGAAGAAGAAACATAGAATGAACATTCCTTTCAAGGACTTGAATATACTAATGCATCCATTGACCCAAATAGTGAATCATTAAATGTCTAGGAAACGTTCCATTGCTGCAAAATACTTCCCATTTTAGCTCTCATATTTTACATTTTTGCATTACATATATTTCCAAATAAAAATAAACTAATTGCCCCTTGTAAATTTTTTTAATTTCGTATGAAAAAGTGTCTTTTTGACAAATATTTCTAGCTTCGTAGCTAAACGATTTACAATGTAAATCCCATTTAATGCACAATATTCTGTTGGTATCTTTCGACTGCTTTGTAATGCCCAAAAAAAAAAAATCTAAAAGAAAAAATCCGTAAAAAAGGAGACATGTAAATAAACAAATAATTAGGGGCGAGAATTGAGAAATTATTAAGGATAGAGGACTGCTATGGGTAAAGCTCTTGCCTTCGCAATCATTCGGCGAGACGTGGATTTCTTTTTGAATTAGGACTTGGAACTTGTGATTCAATGGTAGTATTGTAAAAAGTGCAAAATACAAGCCCGATTATATAAGGTTTTACCTTTTTTCTTCTCTTTTTCCCCTTCGGCCCCTTGTCCTCTTCCTCTCTTTCTTCTCTGCTCTTTTTTTTATGGCTGCTCTCTGTCCCCTCCTCTACATCACCGTCCCTTTTTTTCTTCATTACACCCTTTAAGCATCTTTTCCTTGATTAATTTGAAACTGCCAATTCAATTTCGACATACACAGTGATCTGCGTTAGAATGAACATTACCATGATTAAGATCAATGATAAAAAAAAATCGTCCTTATCTCTGCTTGTAATTACATATTTTTGATTCATTTCCATAAATGTCCAATCATCATGCTTCAACATGTTCTTTTCACTATTTTCTTCTTTTAATTTTTCCCTTTTTGGGGAAAAATATGCAGATTCAGATATTTAGATTTTTTTATTTTTTGATATTTATAAATAATAATTAATTTTTTCATCAGCCGAAATTAACGCAAACCTCAAATCAGATTTTTCTTAAATAATTAATTTATAATTACATTACGTTTTAATGAAATGGTCATGATCTCATGCGACGTGTGATAAAGTAATATGAGAAATTTTATAATACACAACGAGTAACTAGTGGTATGTACGGTGATTACTCTTTAGGTCCACTTTGAGGAGAGAGATAGACACCCAAAAGGAGAGAGAAAAACATGAGAGAAAAAATAAAAAATTTTGAGTAGACGTAGCAATCTTCTTATCACTTTTTGTGAGTATAGATGTAATTTTTCTTTTTTTTATGTGTCTATCTCTCTCCTCAAAGTGGACCCAAGTAATAATCACCGTACATGCCACTAGTTACTTTTTGTGTATTATAAAATTTTTCAAGTAATACGAGTTTATTTATAATAGGTTATTTCAATTCATTTTTAAAAATTATTAATGAAGTAATGCATAAGTTAAATAACATTTTTCTGCATTTTAATATATAATTTTAATTAATTTGTTTCGTATCTCAAAAGTAAGGAATCACACCGTCTCATTAACTCAAAAGTAAGGAACTAAACCTCAATTTAGGACATGTTTGATGTGAGGGTAAGAGGGATGAAAATTCACCCATGTAATTTTTCATCCCTTTATTCATGTTGAGGACATGTTTGGTCTGTGAGGGTAAAAGGGGTAAAGATTGACCCATGTAAGTTTTCACCCCTTTGCTCATGCTTAGTACACTTATAATGAGAGGGGTAAATGTTAGACTTGTGAAGGGGGAGTAAAGGATTTTTCAAACGGGAACAACTTTGAATTTTGTCCCCCTCCTTTTTTTCTATATTTATATATATATATATATATATATATATATATGTTATGTACTATGGAGTCTTTTTTTTGGATCTAAATAGTCTAAGTTGGCCTATGTAATATATGATAAATATTGGTTTAAATAAACAATTAATTTCATGATCCATAACAGAAACACAATTCATTTATCAAATAATAATAATATAGTTGACATTACTAATTAAAAAAAAACATAATATTAAGTATTAAGATCTTCCCACTATAATAGACGTACAAGCCAAGGATCAATTAATTTTTAAATCTTAATATTTTCCTATTAAAAAAAAACCTATAAAACCAAATAATCTATTAAAATATTTAACTTTGAAAAATTCAGATATCAAGTAAATAAAAATTGAAAACTTATCCATGTCACTCAAAACACAATTAATTCATCGTATACCTATAATAATGTTAAAATCTTGATTTTTTTTTAAACCTACCCATTTCACTCGAAATACAATCAATCAATCGTATATCTATAATAATATTAAAATATTAATTAATATTATTTTAAAATTTTTTAAAAATTCAAAAAAATGTTTTGTTGTTTTGGTTTAAACTGAACCGAAACTTTAAAAACTAAAGCGAAATGGATAACTGAAATAAATTTTGTTTATTTTTTTACAATAATTTTGAATTCAAAATTAATATTTGGATTTGATTTGGTTTTTCTGTACGAATGGAATATTTCTCTCTCCTTACTATTATTATTCTTTTCATAAATATGACCTTTTTTTTGTTTTTCCAATTCTAGTGGACCCACAAGTTCAAGAGAAATGGCTAAAGGTGAAGATGAAACTAGCCAACTTTTACGTCCTCCAACTCAACTGGGCATCCTCTCTCAGTGGTTAGAGGGTAAGAGTTATGGATCCAATGGCGGAAGAAATTTCGGAGATGTAAATGGTGATACCGTCATTTACCCATGATTGTAAGTTTCGGTTTTTAATTTCACTACAGTTTTATTTTGAAATCGTTACTTTAGTTTGCATTAGCTGTTTGATTAGTCTAAATGCTAGCTTGTTGTGTCATGTGGGCTACAT